GAAATAATACTCAAGGGAATGACACATGGTCTGAAATGGGAAAACATTGCTCCATAGCTGAAAAGCATTTCTAGTAAAGAAAGAAATAACACTCAAGGGAATGACACATGGTCTGAAATGGGAAAAACATTGCTCAATAGCTAAAAAGCATTCCTAGTAAAGAAAGAGGTCCTTTTTGAAAATCATTGAAAAAGATGAAAGAGTTTTCCTCAATAAAGCCTATTATCATTATAAAGCACTATAGTTAAAGGCATTGCTGGTGAAGAAAATAATAATACTCTAGGGAATGACTTATGGTCTGAAATGGGAAAATATTACACCCAAGGTAAAAAGGTGTATTGCCCAATATAACATTTAAACTATGTTAATTCTGTTTTAAAAAATAAGAGCAAATCCTCAATTATTTCTATTGCTTGATGACAGTCGGCACAATCATCTTGTTGTGTGCGTAATACTTGCAGTTTTCCTCTACCTTAATATCCATGATTTCTGTTGAGATATTTTCTTTCTTAAAGCCTGATTCTATCAAATAACCTATTTGCGTCTCTTGGAACATGGTCTCAAGATCTTCATACTTGCCCTTCATCAGCTCCCCCCAAGATGTTAGATTACAGTATGTCAAAACTCCCCCTGGCTTAAGTAGTCGGAATGCGTGATTCTTGATGAACTCAAACTGATGCGTATGCCAAGTGTCTTCTGACAGGGGGTAGGTGTCATAAAGGATGCCATCAAATGAGTTGTCATCAAGCTTTGGGACAATATCTTGCCATAAACCTATGACAATAAATTAAAATTAAATCTTATTTGTTCTTTTTACGAGGGTAGCATTTGATAGCCAGTAGCTAGACAAACCTGTGGCACTCAATCCATTATTGATGGGTTGCAAGCATTCCCAAGAGAGTCAAAAAGACAAAAACATGGTGGCCATCGTGGTGCCCTTAACAATGGATGCTAATGAGAAATCTCTTGTTAAATGGCACCAACATGGTTGCAATGATGTAACATGCAATCTAATAATTGCTTAGGGATTTAGAAGTCAATTTTGTGTTGAGGAAGAAAAATGGTGTAAAACCCTTAAAGCACAGGAGAGAACCATCAAGCAACCTAACTGTGTTGGCTAGTCCCGGGATAGAACACAGCAGAGTATGGTAATACGTTCATGTTCTAGAAACAATAGAATGACAATAGAAGGCAAGACAATGCATACAATATTATAGAACAATACACTACTTATACGCAGGGTTTGGTGCTTAGGTAACCACTTAAAATTCAAGGACTATTCAAGGAGCATACAAGGACCCAAAAATGAATATTCAAGGAGTATGTTCAGCTAACTATGCCAAGGTGGTTGCACATGGCCGACTTTCAGATTTTCCAATCTTTCTGACTAGATTTATTTCAGAACCATGCAAGTAAAAATTATGATCAGTTTTCAAGGAGTTTTGCTAAAATCGTAAAATTCAAGAGCTTTTCAAGTGCCCTTGAAAAAGTGGATTAAATGCAAGGAGTTTTCAAAGAGTTTAAGGAGTAGCACRAACCCTGTATACAATATATGCATTGTATTTATCTAGAACATGAACTTAGGGACAGACCATTAGATAGTTGATGAGGGGGGGGGATGCATAAATCCCCCAAAAAAATATGGAGCAAGCATTAAAACCTCAAAAAAAAAAAAAATCATGCAACCTCTTCAGCTAGAAGAAAAATATCTAACTGTACGCAAAAAAATAACGTGTAAGGGTTGAGCCAAAAAAAAATCATGCAACCAAAATTCCTGCAACCCTCATCAATAGTCCATCTCTTATTACCCGGAGCATTAGCACCACCCATCATGCTCCCCATAAAAAGATCCCCTACTAGGGCCGATCTGCCTATTATAGATCCCTTTCGCTGTCATCAAAAAATATTTCAATCCAGAAGAGAAATGGAATTCTTTTGTTATGACCCATTGATTTGGAATTAGCTAATAAATGAACTTCGAGTGAAGGCATTTAACCTCTACGAAATAAAAATGTTTGTCAGCGCGTAAAAGTCAAATAGACACAAAAGAAAACAATGGAATTAGGGTCTACTAAAGTGTATTAATCTAATATCTATTGCATGGGATTAGTGACTGCACTCTAGTCAAATAGACACAAAAGAAAACAATGGAATTAGGGTCTACTAAAGTGTATTAATCTAATATCTATTGCATGGGATTAGTGACTTAACTCTAGTCAAATAGACACAAAAGAAAACAATGGAATTAGGGTCTACTAATGTGTATTAATCCAATATCTATTGCATGGGATTAGTGACTTCACTCTATCGACCCATCCGACTCCTTCCGTCACTATGGAGATTACTAATAATCAAGAAGATAACGAGAAATATGACTTACCTTTCAATGGCGTGACTTTATGTTTAGCATTTTGTGCAAACGTTTGCAGCCTCTCGAAAACACCATCATTACACTCTATGACGACATGTTCTTGGATGGGGAATGATTGTATCTTAGTGGCAGAGATAGCCATGCCAAACCCGACCTCCAACACTCGTCCTCCGCGAGATGCTGCAATGCTGGCCAGTTTTTGCATAAATGGCGTCTCCCATCGCTCCATAACAGGTTTACCCATGATTGTAAGATGTTCATCCGTATTGTCGTAATCTGCGGAGGCAGCTTTCCAGTCAGTTTTGCARTTTTCTCCCTCGGAGAAGATCTTGGTACAAGACATTTTCTGAAAGACTTGTTGCTCAACTGCACCAAGACCACAGGCAACCCAACTATCCTTGACGGTAGCCTAGCCTTGTATGGGCCTGCATGGACCAACACGTGAGGGCAGCAATGTTAGATGGCAGGAACAATACAATCGTCTTACACATCTCAACTTTCACATCCCCATAATGCCTTGCGTTTTTGGGGGTAACCAATCAAAAAACTGTC